GGTAATGTAGCTGCTGGAAGAGGAGGCCAGGGGAGCAGCAAGCAGTTCCTACCCAGCCTGGGTGACTTCACGCATACGCTGAGCAACCAGGAGAAACAGGGAGATGGAGGCTGCCCTTCAGGGTAGTGATGGGTACTTGTCACCAGTCCTTCCAGTCCTCCTCAAGGAACGTCAGTGTCATCCTTTTCAATGTGCATCCCGGATACATAATGCACTCAGCCTCCTGTGTTTCACTGTTGACATTTGGTAGATATTAATGATTGGTCTAACACTTCATACCAGGATAAGAAACATGAGGAGACATGGTCTCACTTCTCAGTTTATATCATCTGTGCTGTATATACTTCAGCAGGAATCTTCTAAGTGTAGCCACTGTATGATCAGCTCATGTTTTGTTACAGTGAAAGATGTAAGCAAATGTCTGCATCTTTTACTGAGAATACACACTTAGGAGTCACAAGTCTGTCATCATTTAAGTAACGACAGACACACGTCTCTGCCAGAATGAGGCAGAGTCTGGAGCTATCCATTCTGTCTGAGGCTAGTTTTTATGTTGCCAAAACATAACTGTGTCTCCTGCAAACTGGAGGTCCTCTAGACGAAAGCAGACAACACTGGTGTGCAGTTATTTTAACCGTTAGATTTCAGACACCCTTCTGCAGGGGAATGGAGACATCACGGGAAAAACCTCTTCCCAGACCTGCTCATGCTGCAAGCCAGCAGCCCAGGGAAGCTGCGTAATGTGGGATAGCAGACTACACCCCTAGCAGCCCAGGAGCAGTGGCTGTTTGGCAGAAATAAACCAGCTTCAGTTGTACTTCAGGGTTATTTTAGCTCCAAAGCAGAAAGGGCACATTGTACTAGCTGTTGGCATCACCGACAGGATTTGTGAGGCAAACCATTAAGCTGTTCTTGAGGATCTTGCTATTACCAGATGTGGCCTAGAAGGACCTTATCTACTTGAAATCCAGCTGGTCCGGAAACAAAAATGTCAACTTTACCAACAGAATGCTGTGTGCAGGGATGTAAGATTTCCCCCGCCCCCTTTCTTTTCATTTAGGAAAGTTAAATTCCCTCTGACATAATGAAAGGTCCCATTACATGGAAAGCAGGCATGACTGGAAGGACTCTGTTTCACAGACTGTTCGTCAACACCGGACCACTGTGTTGGCAGCAAGGCTAGTGTATAGACATTGCAATTTAGCTGCCACTAAAAATAGGTAGCCTTGACCTTTGTGGTCTAACTTAAGACTCAGTCATAATTTGGACTTACACCATTTTTAGCTTATTGAAATGAGTAACCAAAAAAGCAGGTGGCGGTGGTGGGGAGGTGGGGAATACGCTGCAATTCTGAACAGTGACTTTTGCAAACAAATTATTTATGTATCAGCATTGTGGTGTGCAGCTTAAGGCTGGGTGGTCTGTGCACATAATTAGCATTTTTAGGAAGGAAAACTTCCCAAGTAAGTGTCAAAGAAGTGGTTTTGTATCAGTAGGGCGCAGACAAACATTCCTAGCTTTATGTTACAACCATGTAGAAATGATGCTCTCATTTTATATAGATAGGTCAGGTGCTAGCCACCAGGGTGGAACATGGGAGCTACTAAATAAAAAGGTTCAAGAAAACATATTCAGTGAAAAATCTCGCTACCATAGAACAAATCCTTTCTACAGCCACAAAATCAATTGTTTTCAGCCACTAACCTTGCACAAGACTGCTGCTCCGTGGAGAGGGGAACACCTGCCCACATTGCATTTCCCACTTGCTCTTCAGTATTGCCAAAAAGCGTTAACTCCGCGTGTAGCTATTTCACAGGCTACAAAAAATATTGCAGTTCTGTGGCATTCAATACTTCATGTAACTATAGCAACATCAGATGACGAATGAAATAGGTTCGAGGTAAAAGATGCTTCTGCTAGCCTAGCAGTATGGGAAAGAGGCAGGATTGTTACTGGCAGTATGGAAGTTACCTGTGACATTGCAAACTGGTTGTTTCAGAGAACTGTCATCATTACAACCTCTTTCTTTGTGGTTCTTACTCCTTAGTATTGGGTTTAAGGAGAGCTACCTGAGTGTAAGTGAGGCTTCTGACAGCTTTCCATAACTTTGCTCCAGACATCTCCCAAATGAACTACTTTTGCCTTAGTGAAATTAATAAAATTTAGACCGTTTAGCCCATTTCTAAGTGATTCTTGGTTGATGAGCTGAGATAATTTCTAATATTCTTATGCTGGAGTGTATTTCAGTCCTTAGTGCTAGGAAAGTTTTGTCATTGGGTTGAATGAAGACAAAATAAGAACAGCAATGCCTATTAAAATTGCCTTGCTTAAAAATGGAAGGTAACTGTACTGCATAGGTGTGGTTCCTTTCCTACAAGTATAGTTTTGTTCTTTCCTTAGGGAAGGAATAAAGACAGGTCCTTTTCTTTTCTTGGAGAAATCTTGATTGGTATTAATAAAGGTGAACTGAGAACTCTGAGAGAAGCCTATTCAATGAATGCTGGGAAACACTGTGCAGGGCTGGTTAGCTCTGAAACTAGTATCACGTGTAAAAATCACTGGTAATTATTAAAAACTGTTTAGAGGTTCTATACTGTGAAATAAGTAAATTTAAAAATGCTTGAATTCATTTATTTGTAGGATTTCTTATTGATGCTCCCTCATGGCGAGCCCCAGTGGCACAGGACTGATTTTAGACACAAGTAGTCCAAATATCTTCAAAAAGTATCCAGGGCCTGGCACTTGCAGCTGTCCCCATCAAAGTAAAGTGGATTTTTCCATTCACAATCACTTCAAAATTGAAGGATTTTAATCCAAACACCCTTAACCTTATGTATGGATTTGCTACAGAGCCAAATGCAAACTGCCAGGGAAGTTGGTGCCACCTCTCATTTTAAAAAAACCCTGAAACCAAACCCACTTCCCTTCCAAAAAGCTTTCCTCTTTCGTACCCAGACAGCCAGCCTCAGTGCCAAGCACATGCCAGTTTACCACTGGGAACCTGAAATTATATTCATTAGACATAGGAAAGAGGGTTGCTTGGGGTATGCATCCTTCAGCTGGGGCCAGCCCTCGCGCTCTCCTAGCACAAAGCATAACAGTGTAGTACTCACAATTAGCTTAAATGAGCAACACATTTGGTTTCAACTTTAGCATTAATTACACAAGATACGTTACCTCTGGAAAAATGTTTATGGATTTGCAATACACATCTCACTTAAGCAGAAAATGCCAGCATAGTTACTCTCCTGTTCTTGTGACATTACCGGTCCTGTGTACGCAAGGTCCAGCCTTCCAGATGTCTTACTACAGAGCTGAGCCCTAAACCCTGTGTTAAGCTTTTCTCCCTGTGCTTGGCTAGTGCCTAAAAACAGGAATCATCTAATACAGCACACACACAGCTGCTGCAGGTAGTCGGCAAAAAGATTCAGCTAAAAGGGGTGTTAGTCAACGTCACCATTCATTGACTCATGCATCCTACTTTAGCTTACGGGAAAAATATGTAATAAGAACGTTTTTCTATTACAGGGACAGTAGCTGTCTCCTGGAATTGATGCTCAAGTTTCCTTCTAGATCTAATCCTCACATTCCCCATGCTGACCTCCTCTGCCAACACGCACACAGACACACACTCACTCTCTCTTCCTCCCTCCGGTCCCCACCAGAATGGGGGTCTGATATGCTCATTTCCTGTAATTACTGTTTCAAAATCTTCTCCACAAACACGGGAATGAACAGAGATAACAGCATATGACATTAGATGTTCTTGATTTTGCCAATAGCAGCCCGACAGAAAATGACTTAATGATTAAAACACTTGGACTCTCTAGCTTGCAAATGGCTTGTGTTTAAGAATGTAACCCCTCTTAACTTCTTTACACCATGGTACAGTATAATTCACTCAGCCTAAGAGGAGGATAATGACAGCTTTATACAGGACCTCACATCACACCTCCAAGTTTTCTTCTTATCTCAAAGGTCGCACCGCGCATTAAAGCAATAGTCTGTATTAATCTAACCTCTGACATTTAGGCCATACTAGCCCACCAACGCAGGTTTATGTATCTCACACCTCAGACCCTATCAAGAAATTTGGCAGTGGCAGCTTGATAAGAACACCATACCTTACTGAACTTGTTCTAAAAACAACATCAGCAAAACACTCTGGTTGCACTTTTTAATGACCTTGCTCACTTGTGCTCGCTCTTCTTTAGTTATTGCCCATATGGGTAATAGTCCATGCTTCTGCAGCATCAGAAATGCTGTAAGGAAGGAGGACTGAAAATTCCTATTTTTCTGTAAAAATATTAGTACCCAGGGGAACAAGTCTGTATAAAGTTTATAAACTGGAAACTTGAGTTGTTCATTTTCAGGTGGTAAAATAATTGTTAAAAACAGGGTTATGTTTTTAATGAGAACTGACAACATTTTTTGTTTGTTTCTGTACTGGATGAATTACCAAACCAATCTTCATTATCAGGTACTTTATAGTGAAAGTTCTACCAGAGGGATGTTTCTGGTATTGCCAACAGTCTAAGCAACCACTACAGTACATTTGGATTCTCTTTTTTTGTTCAAAGGGTACAGATAGTGAAATAACACTCCTCAAATTGTGTATTATTCCAGCTTCCCAAGCTGGGATCTGTGTTAGAATATGTGTTTCAAAAGCAAAAGATAACCAAATCCTCAAATTTAACTCAGTTTGTTTCAAGAAAGCTGGGACCATTCTAAGGAGATCTGCAAGTGCATCATCTTAATTCTGTGACAGAGTGGTCCAGCCAGTCAGTGTTTACTGCTGCAAAGTTTATATGCCTTTTCAAAAAAATAATAAAAATAATTAAAATGATACTTTCAGAAAATCTTTTAAGACTGCAGATAGGGATTCTACCTTCTAATTTCACCCTTACTTAGACAAATTCTCATTCATTATGTTGAAAAGTTTTTCACTACCATATGTTGATTAAATGACGGTGGCTGTTGTAACTAAAGCACAGACAAAAGACAAGTCAGCTGTTTTATTAAATACAGAATTCTAAAAACCTTTTGTGAGGTTGGAAAATGAGTGTACTGAGAGCACTTGAATGCACAACTTAAGAAACAAATGATAGCTCTGCTTCAAAACGGCACGACAGGTTCTTGAGAGATTCCTTTTCACACTTGTCCAGTGATATTTTTAGGAACTTCAGCCTACAAAAGAGCCAGAGCTTTATTGCAGTCACTTTCCAAGGCCACTCTGGCCAGCTTTACTTTCTTTTCATCTCCTTTCCTTTTTTTCTCTCATTATCTTCTTGCTTTCTTCTCTTCTCCTCTTAGTTACAGGATTCCGCGGATCATAGATCTCAAAAGTGTCTTCATCCTGCATGCTTGCATCTTTCACCTTTCTGCTTCTATCTTCAAATTGAAGTACATGTGACATCCTACAAAAACAGAACATAGCTCAAATTCAGTGAAAGAACGGAAAGTTATGATTTGCAATTAAGATATGCATAGCAAAATTTTAGCACTGTGAAATATTTTTACGCTTAGCAAAAATGATCTAAGTTTTGCTGTTTTTATTGTTGTTTTTTTTCTTAGTAGATCCTAATATTACAGGGTAACCACATTTGAGAAAAGCCATTTTGAAAAACGCAGATAAAGTTAGCTCTGCTGGACTTTATTTTACTTTATACTGGCTAAATAGAGGGCTTTGGCTAGACCTCATGGAGAAAATAAAAGTCTACAATCTCTGGAAAAGGGGTTGGTTACTTATGAGCTGTATCAAGGTGTAGTGAAGATATGCAGGCGAAAAATTAGAAGGACAAAAGCCCAAGCAGAACTTAACTTGGATACCACAGTTAAAGATAACAAGAAGAGTTTTTTTCAGCATATCAATAAAAAAAGGAAGGCTAGAGAAAACATAGGCTCACTGATGAATGAGGTGGGTGCCTTGGTGGTGGAAGACACAGAGAAGGCGGAGCTGCTGAATGCCTTCTTTGCTTTGGTCTTCACTGCCAAAGCTGCCCCTCATGAATCCCAGACCCTGGAGACAGGAAGACTTTCCCTCTCTTGGGGAGGACTGGGTTAGAGACAACTTGGCCAAACTAGACATCCGCAAGTCCAGGGGCCCTGATGGGATGCACCCACGAGTGCTGAGAGAACTGGCAGATGTTATTGCTGAGCCCTTCTCCATCATTTTTGAGAAGTCTTGGAGAACAGGAGAAGTGCCTGAGGACTGGAGGAAGGCAAATATCACACCAGTCTACAAAAAGGGCAAGAAGGAGGGCCCAGGGAACTACAGGCCAGTTAGTCTCACCTCTGTCCCTGGGAAAATAATGGAGTGACTCGTTCTCAATGTCATCTCCAAACACACTGAAGATCAAGAAGTTATAGGAAGTGGTCAACACAGATCTACCAAGGATAAATCATGCTTGACCAATCTGGTAGCCTTCTGTGACATTATAACTGGATGGCTGGATGAGGGGAGAGCAGCAGATGTCATCTACCTTGACTCAGTAAGGCTTTTGACACTATATCTCCCATAACACCCTCATAGAAAATTAAGGAAGTATGGGCTAGATGAGGGGGCAGTGAGGTGGATTGAGTCCTGGCTGTGTGACAGAACTCAGAGGGTTGTCATTAATGGAGCAGGGTCAAGTTGGAGGCCTGTAACCAGTGGTGTCCCCCAGGGGTCAATACTTGTCGTCCCAGTCCTGTTCAACATATTCATCCATGACCTGGATGAGGGGACAGAGTGTGTCCTCAGCAAGTTCGCTGATGATACCAAACTGGGAGGGCTGGCCGACACTCCAGAGGGCTGTGCCTCCATCCAGTGTAACCTGTATGGGCTGGAGAGCTGAGCAGAGAAGAACCTAATGAGGTTCAACAAGGGCAAATGTAGGATGCTGCACCTGGGGAGGAAGAACCCCAGACACCGATATAGGTTAGGGGCGGATCTTCTGGAAACCACTACTGAGGAGAAGGATCTGTGAGTCCTGGTGGATAGCAAACTTTCCATAAGCCAGCAACGTGTCCTTGTTGCCAAGAGGGCCGAAGGTATCCTGGGCTGCATGGGGAAGAGCGTGGCCAGTAGGTCGAGGGAGGTCATTCTCCCCCTCTGCTCTGCACTGGTGAGGCCACAACTGGAATACTGCGTCCAGTTCTGGGCTCCCCAGTTCAAGAGAGACAGGGAACTACTGGAGAGAGTCCAGCGTAGGGCAACAAAGATGATTAAGGGATTGGAGCATCTCCCTTATGAGGAGAGGCTGAGAGAGCTGGAGCTCTTTAGCCTGGAGAAGAGAAGGCTGAGGGGAGACCTTACCTATGCTTACAAGTATCTAAAGGGAGGGTTAAAGGAGGATGGAGCCAGACTCTTTTCAGTGGTTTCCAGCGATAGGACGAGGGGCAACGGGCACAAGCTGTAACACAGGAGGTTCTACCCATATACAAGGAAAAACATCTTTACGGTGAGGGTGACAGAGCCCTGGAACAGGCTGCCCAGGGAGGTTGTGGAGTCCCTTTTTCTGGAAATTTTCAAGACCCGCCTGGATGCAGTCCTGAGTGATGTGTTATAGGCAATCCTGCTTTAGCAGGGGAGTTGGACTAGATGATCTCTAGAGGTCCCTTCCAACTCCAACAATTCTGTGATTCTGTGATTATTTCATGTACTGAACTCTCTTGTCTTGTCTTTTTCTATCTAACATTTCTTCCCAAACACACTGAATAATTTTCCCAGGAGCAAGAAGTGTTTCTCAAGTTTTCCTATTAGTCACTTTGGATTTCCTTTCACCATTAGGGTTTTACAAAAAGGGAGAAAAGCTTGCATGGAAAATGCTTGAACTAGGTACACATAAGATCAAAAAGGGAATTCTTCAGGTTCTGCTGCTCTAGTTTAACTTGGTGCTTGTCATACTTTCTTAGTCTTTGAATACCAGACTAAGACTAAACTAATGCTTTGCTCAATCCTGTATTTTTTCTACTGTTGATTAGAAATTTTCCCCCCAATAGAAATTTCTCCATTTCAGCAGATTTCAAGTGGTCTGAACACATCACCATGATAAGCTCAAGAATGGGGCCCATGTGAATGAGTCAGGAGGTTCAACATGGCCAAATGCAGGGTCCAGCACATGGGTTGGGGCAATCCTCAGTATCAATACAGGCTGGGGGATGAAGGGATTGAGAGCAGCCCTGTCGAAAAGGACTTGAGTGTACTGGTGGATGAAAAGCTGGACATGAGCTGGCAATGTGCACTTGCAGCCCAGAAAGCCAACTGCATCGTGGGCTGCATCAAAAGAAGTGTGCTGAGCAGATCGAGGGAGGTGATTCTGCTCCTCTGCTCTGGTGAGATCCCACCTGGAGTTCTGCATCCAGCTTTGGAGTCCATAGCATAAGAAGGCCATAGACCTGTTGGAGCAGGTCCAGAGGAAGGCCATGAAGATGATCAGAGAAATGGAGCACCTCTCCCATGAGGACAGGCTGAGAGAGTTGGGGTTGTTCAGCCTGGAGAACGGAAGGCTCCAGGGAGACCTTATTGCAGCCTTTCAGTACTTAAAGAAGAAAAGAAAGATGGGGACAGCCTTTTTAGCAGAACCTGTTGTGATAGGACGGGGGGTAATGGTTTCAAACTAAAAGTGGCTAGATTCAGACTAGATATGAAGAAGAAATTTTTTACTCTGGGGGTGCTGAAACACTGGAACAGGTTTCCAATAGAGGTGATAGATGCTCCATCCCTGCAAACATTCAAGGTCAGGTTGAATGGGGCTCTGAGCAACCTGATCTAGTTGAAGATGTCCCTGCTTATTGCAGGGGGGTTGGACTAGATGACCTTAAAAGGTCCCTTCCAAACCAAACAATTCCATGATTCTATGATAACCTGGAGTCAAAAGTTGTTTGTTAGCTGTAGTCAGTGGCAGGAAATCCTGGAGCTTATCAAGTATGGCCTTATTAGTAGGTGTTGCTGAGGTGAGAATTCATACAGAAGTTTTAGCTTGGACAACCAAAATCTTAGAGAAAAAGACAAATGACTTACTCTCCTTAAAGAAAGAGAGACAAGGGCAGGAAAGGAGAAGAAAACCAAATACACCAACGGACAAGTTGACTGATTATAAACCTATTGGTCTTTACTGACAAGTTAGCAAGACCTTTGAATATACAGTCGTAGTACAGCTGCTACTTAGGATACAGGAGAACAACTATAAAGTTCATATGTTCAGTCGAAAAATAGCCCAAAATCGAATTAACAGATTTTTCAGTGCAAACAAACATGCCTAGGCAAAATCCCCACGTATGTTTGGATTCTGTATTAATCAATTGCAAAAAACATTTTTGATGGGACAACTTAAAATAATAATAAATATCCTCTTGTCAAGCTTTATAGCATAGTCTTTGTGACAGAAAAGCCAAGAACAACCAGTCAGTATGAGAATTAAACTTTTGTAGCCAATGAAACACTGCTTTATCAGTCTCTTGCAAGATGTAAGAGGTCCTGAATTGAACAGTTTTTCCAAAGAGCTCTAGTGCAAATCTCCATACATAAAGAAAGGAAGAACTAGCTCAGTTACTGTACATTACAATATAGTACTATTAAAGAAAGCAGACAAAATTCAAAGCTACAGACTCTATGGGATCGTTTGAATGCTTTAGAAAAATCTTAAAAACTCAAACTTTTCATCACAATTGATTCTTAACATGTGGGTTTCGTAAATCTCTTATTGTACAGCATTGTCAGCATGTTTGCATATTATTATTCCTGCCCTATGGAAATACTTAAGATTTGTTTCCAGTGTACAAAACTTCAGTAGATTATAACCTTGTACATACTACTAACACCCAAACTTATTTTTTTAGTCATATCTGCAATTCAGAATAACATAATGTACCATCAGAGTGACTCATAATTGCGTATTTGTAGTTTAATTATAAAAACATTGTCTCACAGTGGAGAGACTGAAGTAATTTATTTTAGTTAACATGCTTTCTGCATTTGTCATATTCTTCTCAACTTATTAAAGATGAGCATTTGAATATTTTTTTAAGAACACATACCAAATCACACTATCCTAGTCTGAATTAAAATACAGGGCTAAAGAGATGAAGTCATCCCTTGGTGAGTGGTTTTAGAGAGTGTTACACAGTGTATACAGAAGTGTAGTCACACTTAGCCATTTCACCAACTTGGGTTTTCAAAATATGGCACAGCACATACAGAGGATACAACTAATAGGAATTAAAAATAAATACATCTCTAATCCTTGGGTCAGGCCATACTGCGTCTCAGGTAGTTTGCAAATTAGATGCAGTGGATTCAGACTAAGGAATGTTTACTTCTCTCCAAGAGCTGAAAGAAGTCATAGTCTCTGACTCCTATTCATAACTTTCCACTGAGGTGTTCCCAGCTGTGATTAAAAATAAGCCAATATTAAGAAACTTTTTGATATTCCGA